TAGTTCTCGTGGGAACAATAATCCGAACTCAAAGGTCCACTATATTACTTGTTACGATATCGTACATTTGTGATATAAAAAAATGCAACAACTTCCAAAACCTTGGAATGCTTATAACTTGAAAATTTACTACAAGCAGTTCACTCGACCTCTTCTAATATTCGTTCTAGTCTCTTTGGCTTATACACCTCACTTTTCTTTATTCGATTGTTCGAGCCTGCATGCCTATATTTACTTTTAAATATTAGTTAGGGCAAAGTTTACTTCGCCAATCTTATCGTCGTCGTGATATTATGCCTTAATAAAATTCGTTCAACTCGTACATAATGTTGATAAAAATAAAGAATTGCCCGAACAAACACCTAAAGTCTTGCCTCATGCACTCACCTTAATCCTTACCCCCAAGTAAGCACCTAAAACCTTATTCAGTGGAAGCACCTCAAGCCTTGTCCCCATGCAAAACCTTAAGCATTGTCCGAGCAAGCTTCTCGACCCTTACACTATACAAACACCTCAGAACTTGAGCAGAATACCCTACTCGGGTAAAATACTTGAATAAACCTCTAGACTTTGTTTATCTTTTTTTTTCCCTCAAGCCTTTAAATTTAGTATTTAATTACACATTGAGATTTCACTATAACATCGAGGTATAGTACAATGAGAATCATCATCTTGAACTCGTGGTTTGTTATGTGACAACAGCGGGCTTTGTTACATTATCCGTGTTGAGACGAACACTTGAAATACATAATAGGAAAAATAAAACATGAGGACTACACTGCTCGATCAAAATACTTTTTTCATTTATTGAAATATTTTTTTTCAAAATACAGTATTGTGTATCCAAATTTCGGGATAAACAATTTTCAGATAATGGCAGAATCCAAATACACACATCTCCAAATTTCTCCAAAATTATCAAAATTTCCATGCTCTGGGGGTCAATAAAGATGATATTAAATTGTAGTTATTCCCATATACACTAAGAGATGCCGCATTGGAGTGGTTGGACGCCGAATCTCATGTCATTACGTGGGAAGAACTGACCAGAAAATTTTGCAATAAATTCTT